CCTGCTAGCATTTCCTCTTTAGCACCATCATATTTCCTTGGAACCTCCCCTTTGCCACCTGCATCTAGACCTGCTCTATCCTATACCTCTCCACAGCCCCATAAACGTTCCCCAAATCTGTCTCCCTAGCTCCTTCATTTATTCATATTTAGGATATTCAAGGGTTCAGAGAGGGAAGTGGTCAGGGGATCCAGTTAATACACATCCATGTATTAAACGACAGATAGCTAGGTGGGCATTTCTCAAATGAGGGTCCAAAGACATAATCCCCGAGATTTGAGAGGTCTGTGGGTATTTAGATAATAATAGCTAGTATTTACTGCATGCTTGTCATGTATCAGGTGCTGTTTGAAATGCTTTACATGTATTAATTTGGTTTCACTATAACATTACAAAGCAGATGCCCTTATCTGTATTTAACAGGTGAGCAAACTGAACATGTTCTTATTCCCATCAAACAGATTGTCAACCACGGAAAGGCTGATCAGCCCAAGGTGACACAACTAATAAATGACAGTATAAGGACTCAAATCCAGGCAGTCTGGGTCTAGAGCTAGTGCTTTTAACAACAATGCTGTCATCTGGGGCTTAACTGAGCCTGGATGGTCCAAGATGGTGTCATGCCTGGCTGGCAGTTAGCTGGGGCTGTTGGATGGGGCCTCCTCCTCTGTTTGGTCTCTCCAGCAGGATATGTCAGACTTCTTTTTTTTTTTTTTTTTTTGAGACGGAGTTTCGCTCTCGTTACCCAGGCTGGAGTGCAATGGCGCGATCTCAGCTCACCGCAACCTCCGCCTCCTGGGTTCAGGCAATTCTCCTGCCTCAGCCTCCTGAGTAGCTGGGATTACAGGCACGCACCACCATGCCCAGTTGATTTTTTTGTATTTTTAGTAGAGACGGGGTTTCACCATGTTGACCAGGATGGTCTCGATCTCCTGACCTTGTGATCCACCCGCCTCAGCCTCCCAAAGTGCTGGGATTACAGGCTTGAGCCACCGCGCCCGGCTCAGACTTCTTTATGCAGCAGCTGGATTCCAAAAGGTAAATGTCTTCAAGGCAATTTTCCCATGTGGAAAATTACCCTGATGCAATGGCAGCCTCCATGTCTACCACCTACAGGTCATGAAACGGATAAACTTATAAGCCAAATTAAGAAGCTTAAATCACATTGCTTATATGGTGGTTCTAAAATGTATCCTCAAATGTTTTGGCATTACTTCTATTAATATTTGGGGTCTATATCCCCTTCCCTTAAACATGGGCTGGTCCTAGTGGTTGGCTTGTAGGCAGTAGAATACAGTGGAAGTAATACTGTGTGACTTCCAAGGATAGGTAGGTCAGAAAAGGCCACAAGGCTGGTTCTTTTCAGACATTCACTCTGGGGGAAGCCAGCTGCCAGGCGAGAAGTTCATCATGCTGGACAGGCTGTGTGAAGGTGCTCTGGTTCTCAGCCCCATTTGAGCTTCCAGCCAGCCATGTGAGTGAGCCATCTTAGCTATTCAGCCCAGCTGAACTTTCAAATGACAGCAGTTGTGTTGAAATCTGATTGACACTACATAAATGACTCAATAAATTAACTGTCTAAGTAAGTTCTTCCCAAATTTCTGAGCCTCAAAATTAAGAGCAAAATAAGCTGGCTATTTAAACTCCTGAGTTTTGGCATAATGTGTTTACCCAAAGAGCAGCAATAATAATGAGAAGAGTTTACCAACCAACATAAAACAGTGAGAAGCAAGGGGAAAGAGAAAGCATAGATGAGTAAGTTTAGGATAGGCTGAAGCACCTAAATTCTGTTTTATGCAATGTTCTCATGTGTTATCCCTCTCCACCATCCAGTCTTCTCAGCACATAGAGTGGTTACAAGGACCAGACTGGAGAGTAAGTAAGGTGATTCAGTAGACTGAAGGGGCCTGGGCTCATAATACATCTGTTCTGTTAGGGAGCTGAGGGGCAAGTGTGTCTGGTTATAATGGCAGCTGGCATTAGTCGGTTTTGTAGCTGGGAGTTTATTTGCTTTTCTTGGGAAATAAAATTACATGAGGCCATAATAGGGCTACAATGGGTATCATCAGTAGGTGTGCAATATAGGGATGACATGGCTGTCAATCTGAAGGTAGTATGATCTGTACCTTATTAATACTTAAAGTCCCTTTGTCTTTCTGCCTCTTTTATTATTTATTTATTTATTCATTTTTTTTACGCAGAGTCTCACTCTGTCACCCAGGCTGGAGTGCAATGGTCATGGTCTCAGCTCACTGCAACCTCCGTCTCCCGGGTTCAAGCAATTCTCCTGCCTCGGCCTCCGGAGTAGCTGGGACTACAGGCGTGTGCCACCACACCAGGCTAATTTTTGTATTTTTAGTAGAGACGGGGTTTCACTATGTTGGCCAGGCTGGTCTCAAACTCCTGACCTCATGATCTGCCTGCCTCAGCTCCCAAAGTACTGAGATTACAGACATGAGCCACCACACCTAGCCCTTTCTGCCTCTTTTTATCTAAAGTAGCATTTTCATTTGTTCCATCCTTTTTTTTTTTTCTTTTTTTTTTGAAACAGTCTTGCTCTGTTGTCCAGGCTGTGGTGCAGCGGCACAATCTCAGCTCACTGGGTTCAAGTGATTCTTCTGCGTCAGCTTCCTGAGTAGCTGGCATTACAGGCATGCACCACCATGCTCCACTAATTTGTTTTGTATTTCTTTTAGTAGAGACAGGGTTTCTCCATGTTGGTCAGGCTGGTCTCAAACTCCTGACCTTGTGATCTGCCCATCTCAGTCTCCCAAAGTGTTAGGATTACAGGCATGAGCCACCGTGCCTGGCCTGTTCCATCCTTTTTACCTATGTTCAACACATAGCCATTCATTCTGTGTAACATGTCTTATAAGTGACTTGCTTCTACATTTTAATTTCTCTTGTTTTATAATTAAATATTCTATAGTAATATAGCAAAAGCATTACAGCAACCCCCAATAAGCAAATATGTATCATTATCAGGTTTGTGATGGCCTGTTTATTGACCAAAACAAGTCAAATAGCCAAGCCCACAGTCCATGTAGAAGTGGAATACATGATGGAGCAGATAATGGTGTAATTCACTGGGGATCACTATTTTAATAATCTGATGCTAATATATAGCTAGAAAATGCTTGATCCAGGAATCAAACTTTCCACAATCTGTCTTTGGAGTCTACACACTAAACTGCTATTCTGGAGGTTGTTGGGGAATGGGTTCGTACTGAAGAGCTTTTTTCAAATCTCACTTCCCACGCCCCACCCCAATGAATCAGAATCTCTTGGGGGTAGGGAAATTGTGGGAGGCTTTGGGGGTACTTCCATGAACCTGAGGCTGAAATGACTTTGCAGAGGATTCCAATGCATACTAGGGGATGAAGAGGGTTTCAAAGACAAAGAAGACACAGATTCTGCACTCAAAAAGCTTTCATTTCAACAGAGATCATCTTGTCATTATTACATCACAGAGGCAACACCTTGAAATTTAAAAAAGAAGCGGTTTCTTTCCATGTTTAAGATCAGTGGTTCTCAAGCTTCCGTGTGTGTTATTATTAATATCATTATTATTTTTGAGATGAAGTTTCACTCTTGTTGCCCAGGCTGGAGTGCAATGGAGCGATCTCAGTTCAGTGCAACCTCCGCCTCCTGGGTTCAAGCGATTGTCCTGCCTCAGCCGGGATTATAGGTATGCACCACCATGCCTGGCTAATTTTGTGTTTTTAGTAGAGATGGGGTTTCTCCATGTTGATCAGACTGGTCTCGAACTCGCGACCTCAGGTGATCCGCCTGCCTCAGCCTCCTAAAGTGCTGGGATTTACAGGCGTGAGCCACCGCACCCGGCCGTGTGTGTTATTATTAACAGGAGGGCTTGCTAAAATCCACATGACTGGATCCAATGCCTACGTTCTGACTATTTCCCATGTCTAAGAAGCTCAGGGACTCACTTTCAGAACCAGAGTTAGAGAAGTAGGCGGCTTTAGTGGTAACAATCCTCCGTTTATTCAGTTTTATATTCTACTAACACGTAGCACATTTACTACATACAAGTTTCCGGGCTGAGTGCAGCACTGTTCATGACAGGATGGGATTTAGATCTTGATTACGCTGGAGCAGATTTATTAAGTGGATTTATTCTCTAAGGGTGCCTAAGTGTCATTAGACAGGTTCAGATAAAGCAGAGATCTCTCTTAGGAAGAGATTAGGGATAACTTAATGAAGTTAGGAGACCCTTTGACCTGGGTCTTGAAAGATGTCTAGGACCTGGACCAGGGGAAATCGTGAACCACCAAAGAATTCTTGCCGCTTTAGTACGGAGACAAAAAAAAAAAAAAAAAAAAAAAAAAGAACAACTCACAAGCAACCACTAGGAAAGGTCTGACATTCTTGCCTCTGGCTCCAGCATTAACAATTTGCATTACCAGCGGCTGGAGTCTGAACGGGGAAGACTGCTCTCATGTCAAGGGCTCAGTCTCAGATCCTCCTTGGGCAGAGATGGAACTGGCTTCGCTTTCTCTTTGGAGCGCCCACAGCAGGTGCCTCAGAGCCGGCCTACTCGGCCGAGGCGGCGGTGGGCGCCGACTTGGCAAAGGGCGCAATTGCGGCTCTGCGTTTCGGAGCAGAGCGCCGCGACCCCGCCGGGGCTGGGGCGGTAGCGCAGCTCTCCGCCTGGCCTGAGTCGGGCCGCGCGCTGCGGCAACTTTCAGAACGAGCTCCAGAGTGGCGTTGGGCCCCGGTGGGGGTCCGGGTGGCAGCTGCACTACCCAGGCGGGCGAGAGGTTCAGAGCTCTTTCTCCCCATTCCGACCTGTGGATTTAACGCCAGCACAGGGTGACGCACCCCACCTCCTTCCACCTTCACGCACCAGGGGGGGAGGGGACGCGTGTGCGCGCTCCTCCCCCAGGCGGGAGCGCGGCCCGAGAGCATGCAGACTGCGCCTGCGCAGCCCGGCTTCCACTCCGCCTCCTTCCGCTTCGCCCCGCCCCGTTCCCCCGTGTGCTGCCGCTAGGGGTAGCGGCGGCGGCTGCGGTCCGGGAGCGCGGCTGCTTTGAGGGCTCGGGAACCCTACAGAGTGGGGACGCGGGGAGGCTACAGGGTGAGAAAGCCGACGGGAGAGGAGGGCGGCGCTGGAGGAGGGCGGCGCGTGGCTGACTCATCCCTCTGGAAGATCAGACTGATCGGCACACACACTCGCGCTCCCGCCCGCCCGCGCCGCTCCACCTCAGCCGGGAGGCGCCCGCCCGCACCTCCCGCCCGCCCTCTCGGGCGCTGTCCGGGCCCGGCCGTCTCAGAGAAAGTTTTTCCCATCCGAGGGGCCGGAGCCACCGCGGGCCTTTTGGAAGGGCAGAGGGACGGAACAGGAGGCGAGAGCCGCGCGGGCCCGCGGATTGCATGGTGCCCGGCGCCTCGGCCGCCTGGCAGGAGGACCTCGGGGCGGGGTCGGGCCGAGCCCAGCTACTTTTCCCCTCAGCCGCGCCAGAAACCGCCTTCGCGGACGGCCGCGGGGGTCCCCGCTCCTCGGCTCGTCATGTCCCGGCTGCTGCCGCTGCTGAGGAGCCGGACCGCGCGCAGCCTGAGGCCGGGCCCGGCCGCCGCTGCCGCGCCCCGCCCGCCGTCCTGGTGCTGCTGCAGGCGGGGGCTGCTGGCGCTCGCGCCCCTCGGCGGCTTCCCGGGCGGTCCGCGGCGGCTGGGCACGCACCCCAAGAAGGAGCCCATGGAGGCGCTGAACACTGCGCAGGGCGCGCGCGACTTCATCTATAGCCTGCACTCCACGGAGAGGAGCTGCCTGCTCAAAGAGCTGCACCGCTTCGAGTCCATTGCCATCGCCCAAGGTAAGCGGGGTGGGGGGGGGCGAGCCCTGGGGCCCCAGCGCCCTCCGCGAGCCGCAGCCCACCGGGAGCCCTCCGCGGCCCTCGGCCTTGGACCCCCGCCGCCGCCCCCCATCTGCCCCCCTCGCCCGCCTGGCCCCGCGCCTGGGACGGCTGGGGGCGGGGGGACCTTCCGCAGCCCGAGTTTCCCCCAGGCAGCTGAGGCCGGCGCCTGGCTAGGTCCCCCCCGGCCTCGGAATCCGGAGCTTCGGCCTAAACTGCCAGGTGACACGGTTGGGATTCAGTTTGGTGTGCCCGGTGTCCCCCCTCCCCGGCCCTCCTGTCCCTTTGCCTTCGCTGGTTGCTTTCGAGCGAGCGAGCACCCGCGCAGGTGGCACGCTGTGCCTGCTCCGAGAAAGTGCTACCAACCCGCCTGGCAGGAAGAAACTTTTTGAACGGTGATCACATGAAGATCTATGGGTGGGTAGCCAAAAGAAGGGGTGTAGCTTCGAAAGTCAGGGATGCTCTCAGCTGCTTGTTTCCACACACGTCTGGTTGCGTTAATTAGAGCAGCCAGAGGAAAAGTTTTTGCCAGAAATGGAAAGATAGATTCAAGTGAAACTCCAGTTTTGTTTTTTCCCAGAGGTTGAAAGAATGAAATAAATAAGGAAGTATATTTTTTGAAAATCTGTAGTTCTGCAGTAAAAGTCAGACTTCTGCTCAGAAGTAATTTGGAACGATGAAACCAAAACTATTTTTAAGCTAACATGTTAAAATAGGATATTTTTAAAACAAGTCCAGAATGGGGTCGGTCAGAATTTGAGTCTAGGTGAAAAGGCTAAAAGGTCAGAAAATCAAAAGGATGAAAGGAGCAAACGACTGAAATGGTTGTCTTAAAATATTTCCGTCACTTACAGTTATGTAAACAAAACGCATTGCTTCAGTTTGTATTACATTCTGATGTGTTTGAAAGTTTTAAAGTTTACTCCCCCTTCTAAACTTGGTAGGTATGTTCACATCTCATAGATTCCTAAGTTTAGAGCACATTGATTCGGATTATGGCATTTGATTTGCCAGAGACAATTGAAAGTGTATCTTTAGCTGATGTGCAGGAATGAGGAAAGAATTATTTACCTCAAGTAAGCATGACGTTATCTGTACTACTTCAGAAACTTATTTTAGTTGTGGCTTTTAATCACATTTCCCCACCTCCCTCAGTTCAGGGAATGGTGAACCAATTTATAGTGGATGATTGATTCCAGACATTGTTTACCCACAGTGCTTTTACAGGAAAATGTAACATCCTGCCAATTCCATTATTAAATATGTAATAATGATGGTATATGAAATCATAATCAAACACTAGGACATTTGTAGTCTATGTGTGGAATCAGTATGCAGTTTAAAAGTAGTCAATTCTGAAAATGTGCTCCTTAGAAAATAATATAGTCAGTCATGTACTAGAACATTAACTTTTGAATCTCCACTGACAAAACTATTCAAACACACATTTTACCTTTTCCCAGTAGTTTCTTGGAAATTCTGCATTGTCAGCAAGTTACAAGATTGTAGGGCCCTATGAATATAGTTTTATGGCGGTTCTTGAAAAGCATGTCCGCAATGTGACTGAATAAATTTTTTCTCATACATTATTTTTGTACATGCCAGCAATATTGCAGTAGCAATGCTACATTTCCTAACAAAGATATTATTTTAAATTCAATATGGTTTTAAATGTTCTGAAAAGGACCTAAACACTTTTTATTCATTGGAGATCATTAACATCAGTTAAACTTAGTTAGGTAACTAATATGAGAGACAAGTTAGTACTTTAAATTGTCTTCTTTACCCAGGAGAAACAGTCAAGGATATTTGAAACAATGGATAGATGCTTATCTCTCCTATTTATAAGCTAGAGAACATCAAAGTTTAAATCAGCAATTTTTGCTGATGTTGATGACAAAATGATTGTCCTATGAATCAAATGACACAGATGCTGCTTTTTTGCTAGTATAGTCTTGGTGTTCACTTACCGCTTTCAGTATCAATGCATATAGTTATTATGGAGATCACTAGAATCATTACTTAGGAAATTATCTATTCATTAATCATTTAAGGTAAAAGGGATTTTGTTATGTTGAGAATGCATACAGCTCATTCCGTTGCTGAAATCAACATTTTTTTTCTAGTCAGATGAATGAAAAACTCCATGTTTGCTTTTATTGTTGCTTTTTGAATGATATTTTCAAATACTTAACTAATGTATTAAGTGTTGTCTACTAAGTGTACTTTCTAACAAAATTAATTCTATCAAAAGGGCTGTTTCTTGCCATAGAAAATCTTAAATGTCTTTAGAAAGGGTGCTTGTATAAACTAAGGAAGTGTTTTGGATTTGGAATGGAAATGTTACTGAAAAAAAATCATCCATGCTTTAATATGGCAGTGGAATCTGCGGTTGAAATTTGGTACATTTGCCCTTTATCTTTCTTATATTTTTATCAGTAGGCATGTGATATAATCTGTGATGAGATAAAGCTTTGGAATGAGTTTGTAATAGATAAGGCAGACCTTGTGGGATGTCTTATCATAGTTAAATAGAATATTGTGATTTTTTAAAATTACTGATTTCCTTCCCAATTTATAAAAAAGTTGACATTGCACCTTCAGTTTACCTGCTCAGCTGATCTCTCTTCTTCCATAAACAGACCATATTCTGCTGATAGTGCATTGTTCATGTTTTTACAAGTAATACTGGCAAGCTGACATTATTACAGTTGCCTTTCAATGTTAGCCAACATTTTTAAAACAAAATTTCTTCCCAATTTTTGTAATTAGTATTTCCATTTATAATTATTTTTAAAAGTTTTTAAAATCTAGCAATTTGGTATTGAAAGATAGACAGTGCTCATTGTATTAGCTGTCCAGTTAGCTGTCCATTGTGGTATAACAAATTATCCTAAAACACAGTGGCTTAAAACAAGCAAGTATTAGCGCATAATTTCTGAGGCTCAGGAATTCTGTAGCATCTTAGTTGGGTATTTTTGGCTCAGGATCTTATGAAGTTGAAATCAAGCTCTCAGCTGCGGTGACATCATCTGAAGTCTCGACTGGGGCTGGAGGATCAATTTCCAAGAAGTCTCACTCACATGGCTGTTGGCTAGATGTCTCAATTTCCTCCCATGTGGTCCTCCACAGGGCTGCCTGAGTATTCTCACGACATGGCAGTGGGTTTCCTCCAGAGCAAGTGATGAGAGAGAGAGAGTGCTTATGAGTATGTGTGCGAGTGCACGCGTGAGCGTGTTTGCAAGACTGCACCTGTGAACACCTAAGCTGGAAGCCACAGACAGACTTTTATAACAGTCTTAGAAGTGACAGTCTGACAGTCCAACTCTTTTGTCCTGACACAATGTGGGAGAGTACTACACAAGGTGTGAATACAAGGGAGTGGGAATCATTGGGGGTACATCTTGGAGGCTGGCTTCCACACTTATTTAAGGTGGTGTAATTAATGCTTATCAGAGAGTTACATAGAGAAACAAGAACTTGCTATTGGAGAGGTACAATGAGAGATATGTTTTGAAAAAAAGGAGCTTCTTAGGGAATATTTTTTGTTAAATGTGTACTTAATATATTTTTAAAATGAGATTCTTTTTACACTTAGCAAATAACAGATGTATTGAGGTGAACAGAGCAGTTTTTCTATCAGCGTTAGATCTTAGTGAGCTTGCATTTTTTGGTTCCTCTATATAAGTGGTAATTGTGTCCGTTTGACTTTTTTTTTTTAACCATTTATCTGCGTTTGTATACATTAACCAAATAATTCTAAACTTTAATCTTGCAGTCCTCCATTTTTTGTGATTGTTTAAGGTAGGGTGAAGAGCTTTGTTTTGAGATCTTGCCATATAGCGTAAGAGGACTTTGACAAAACAGAAGACTGGAGGATAAAGATTTTATACTAAATTGAATATCTAGAACACTTAAAAATAAATGGAGATTTGTTATGGAATCCCTGTTCACTAGAGATCTTGAACCTTTAACAAGATTAGCCTCTTTTTTTTCAGCCCATTGCTCAGGATTATGTGAGAAAGTAGAAATTCTTTTTTTTTTTTTTTTAAATTTTTTTTGAGACAGAGTCTCCTTCTGTTGCCCAAGGTGGAGTGCAGTGGTGTGATCTTGGCTCACTGCAACTCCGTCTCCGAGGTTCAAGCGATTCTCCTGCCTCAGCCTCCTGAGAAGCTGGGATTACAGGCGTGCACCACTGTGCCTGGCTAAGTTTTTTATTTTTAGTAGCACTGGGGTTTCACCATGCTGGCCAGGCTGGTTTCAAACTCCTGACCTCAGGTGATCTGCCCAGCTCAGCCTCCCAAAGTGCTGGGATTACAGTCATGAGCCACCATGTCCAGACTGTATTAGTTTTCTATTGCTTCTGTAAAATACAGTGGTATAAAACAACATATTCTCTTAGAGTTCTCAAAGTCCGAAGTTTAAAATAAGTCTTAAGGGACTAAAATCAAAGTGTCAGCAAGGCTCTGTCCTTCTGGAGACTTCAGGGGAGAATACGTTCTTTGCTTCTTTCATCTTTTGGGATTCCTTGGTTCCTGGACACATCACTAAAATCTCTGTTCCCTCATCTTCTTCTTCATTGACCTTTTAACCTCCTTCTTATAAGAACCCTCATGATTATATTTAGGTTTTACCTGGATAATCCAGGATAATCTCACTTTCTCCAAATCCTTAATTTAATTACATTTGCAAAATTCTTTTTGCCACATAATGTAACATATTTACAGGTTAGGGAATTAGAATTTGGGGTATCTTTGGGGGCCATTATTCATCCTACCACAGACTTATTATGACCTAGCTTTGGAAGTTCCAGAACATCATTTCTGCTGCATGTAATTGGTCAAGCAAGTCACTAAAGCCAGTCCAGATTCAAGGGAAGGGAAATTAAAAGGAGGACAGAAAGGTGATTCCTTATCTATCAGACTTCTCACCTCTTTATTAAATAGATCCTTTGGGTAATT